CCTTCATTTTTGAAGAAATTAATTTTTTCAAAACTGTTCAACTATTGTTTTTCTCTCTCTTTGAGTCAACTACTCACCACATTTTATGCACTGTAGTGCTAGCTATCTGTATCTTATGCTTTCAGTACTAGATTCATTATCTGATCCTTTGATTGGGTGGACAACATGTCAGTTCATGCTGTAAGAGCTCTGATAGGCTGAAGGACGTCCTCCGGAAGTTGTCATAATTACTTTGTAAGTCTATGGAAGGGGGTGAGAACCATGAGCCACCTAGGTTTTGTACTGAAGTCAATGTACCCAGAGGAGGACGGAAGCTAGCTGTCCTCCGGCTACACCATGGTGCTACCCTACAGAGTGCTGTAGAGGCTACTGTAGACCTTCATTGCAAAATAGTGTTTTAATAAATTATTTGGTGACGTGAATATATTTAGTATAGTTTTATCTAAAAATTATACCTTTTTAAATATTTAAAAATGTGTATTTTTATGAAATTCAATGAGGAGAATGGTCCTCATTCCTCCTCTGAGGAGCCTCCACTGATGAGAAGGCAGCAGTCAGCTAAAGAAAGGGAGTCCCAGTTGTTGCAACTCATCAATGACCTTGCAAAGGAAACACTAAAAGTTAAGAAAACTGTACTGTTGAATTCAGGCAAGTGCTTTCCACACAATCCTGATATCTCCCAACTTATTGTCAGATACCATGCAAGCGAGTCTATTGATTGGGAAAGTGACTGTTCATATAGCAAGCAATCTGAATGACAAATATTTTTATTAATGGGATAATATTGAAAATAATCCTAAACATACCTCTTATAACCGTGTTCAAGGCGAGTTTGAGGCACATCTTTACAACATGAGAAGAACCCATTAACTCAGAAGATTCACCTTCTTTTTTTAAAGATGAACAAAACAGACAGTGTCTCTGTTACATCTTTAAGGCCGGTATTCAGTCCGATCACACTTCATCGGTTATGCACATTAAAGGCAATGTTCCCGCGCTCACAGAGAGTATACCGCATTCATGGGCATTGCTGCATATTTTGCTGCATATGTCGCCTCAATTGGAAGTTACCTCTAAATGTCAAGCATGCTATAACGCAGATCTACCGCCGATCGGATTGAATCCCGGCCTATGTGTCTGCAGACAAACGGCTACCTAAGATAAATACATTGTTTATACACCTTCTGGGTTTAAGTTGTGATTCACAAAGTCAATATTCCTTATTTCCACCCAGGGGATTAAGAGACTTGAATTGGCTTCTTAAAATACAATGACAATTTTTTCTTCAGCTAATAGCATAATCAATAGGCCTATATGTACATACAGTAGGTAGGAATGAGCTCTAAATCTGAAGAGAAGCTTTTGAAAAGTTAGACAGCAAACAAAGAAAGACATTCTGATAAATAGGCGGCAGGTAGCTTAGTGGTTAAGAGCGTTGTGCCAGTAACCGAAAGGTCGCTGGTTCTAATCCCCGAGCCGACTAGGTGAAACATCTGTCGATGTGCCCTTGAGCAAGGCACTTAACCCTAATTGCTCCTGTAAGTCGCTCTGGATAAGAGTGTCTGCTAATTGACAAAAACAAAACAAAACAAAACAAATAAAGCCTTGATAATAACCATGTCATATTGACCATATTATGACCATTATGACAGATTATGACAAGTTCTGACATAACTTGTCATAATATGGTCATAACACTGTCATGACACATATATTTAGATTTGTGACATATATTGTGTGATTTCATGGCTGGTTATTACACCTACATAAGAGTGTCAAAACCCACAAAACCTACAACAGTAGATCTTTTATGGCTGGTTATGACACCTACATAAGAGAGTCAAAACCCATGAAATCTACCACACAAGGCAAAACGTTCCATCATACCACAGTCTTTGCTGATGTCAGTTGCTCAGTGATGTGTTGTGTTGGATTTGCCCCAAACATAAGGCTTTGCATTCAGGCCAAAAAGTGTATTCCTTTGCCTTGTTTATCTTTTCAGTATTACTTTAGTGCCTTGTTGCATACATACAGTATGCATGTTTTGGAATCACTACAATGTTGATCCATCCTCGGTTTTCTCCCAGCACAGCCGTTGAACTTGTTTTAAAATCACCAATGGCCTCATGGTGACACCCCTAAGCAGTTTCCTTCTTGTCCCGCAGCTCAGTCGAAGGAAGACTGCATCGTTGATGTGTCTGGGTGGTTAAATACATCATCCACAGCATAATTATTAACTTGACCATGCTTAAAGATATATTCAATGTTTGATTTGTTATTGTTACCCATCTACCAATCACTGCCCTTCTTTTTGAGGCTTTCGAAAAGCTCCCTGGTCTTTGTAGTTGAATCTGTGCTTGAAATTCAATACTTGACTGAGGGACCTTACAGATATTGTATGTATGAGGGACAGAGGAAGGGGTAGTCATTCAGAAATCATGACAACCCCTATTATTCCATATAACTTATTATGTGAGTTGTTAAGCCACATTTTACTTCTGAACTAATTTAGGCTTGCCTAAACAAGGGGGGGGGGGGGGGGGGGGGGGGGGGGGGGGGGGGGGATACTTATGCAACGACTATATTTTAGTTATTTAATTTGTATTAATTTGTAAAAATGTGTATAATTTTTTCTTTGACAGTATGGAGTATTGTGTAGATCAATGACAAAAAAATACAATTACATCTATTTCAATCCCACTTTGTAACGCACCAAAATGTGAAAAAAGTTCAAGGAGGTATAGACTTTCTATAGGCACTGTATATGTTAAAACAAACGTTAGCCTACCACCCCAAAAAATAAATACAATTGGTGTGAATTGAGATTGTGGTCTGTAAGAATGTCAATGTCTGAATAATTTCTGTCAGAACACACAGCAGAAGGTCCAGTCAGTCAGGTGGTTCTTTATTCTTTATGCCAGGCAGTTACATCTGATGCACACATCAATTATCATAAGGTACCGTAGTCAAGTTCCAGTTACACTGCAGCAGCTAGGTCCAAACTCAGTCCTTTTCATCACTGTACATCTGTACTTCCATCTTCCCTTTTATAAACAACTTTAAAATGGGATGGGGGAGAAAATAGAGACTTTTTACAAGATTCATAGTATGAGAGTATTTCTTCAGTTAATAGCATATTGATTGCCTTGTAAACAGAACGGACAGATACAACTGCGACTGGGCTTTTTAAGAGGCAGGTTGGTACATAGAAATATTCATCCTGGCAAGTAACACATACAGCAGTTTTATACAAGCTAGTCATTAGAAGCATTTGTAAGACGGTGTTTCCCCAAGAGTTAATCTTAGGCGAGGCACAATGTCCCTCAAAAGCAACATCAGAAGGTTGAAGACACTGAACATTTTAACCAGTCTTTTTAGATGTGAAGGGTGGCCCGCCTTGCCTAAGAAATGGTAGGGGAAACACTGTTGGAGAAGGTCCTAAAGAGTAGTGCATTTATGTACAGTAGACACAGGTGGGTACAGTAGGTTTATGTATGGGATAATCAACAAGGGGCTATGCGTTCTATAGAAAATAACGCACTAGTGGAGTGGAACTGACCTTCTACGGAGTTGCATTATTATCCAGAGAACGCATAGAGCCCCGAGTTGATTATCCCTTTTATACCATGGCTATAATTTAACACATTTGTGTTTATTTGCCTTTAGAAATTTGTTCAACATCCACTGATGTTGCTAGCAAGTTTACTAGATAGCTACAGTAGTTGCCTTGGTAACCAAACAAACAGACTTGCTAGTTTAGCTAACCAAACCATCAGTCCTAGCTTGCTATTATGAAAATCCAATTCAACAATGCCAATAATGTTTTCAATTCGACTTTTGCTTTCAAAAGCAGCTCAAACATAGAACATGTAAGAATTAATTATAGCCATTGAATTCTACCATGCTGATACACTGTGTGTTATAGGGAAATAATGCACGCTCTAGAATGCCCTTCAAGCCTATCAGAAACGAGTATTCAACAATGCCATGGTATAAAGTACAATCACAGCTGGTTTGTGCATGCATGCATCTGGTTGGCTCCCAGACCAACACATGATCACTTCCTCAACCCATATAAGCTACATGATCAGAAGAGGTGGTCAGAAATGTATTTCCTACTAAATCAATCTTTGTTGCTCTTGGTCCTAGAGCTGAATGCAGTGTGTGCAGGCTTTTGCCCCGACCTAGCAGTAACACATCTAATTCAGCCGATCACGGTCTTGGTGATTAGTTGATTTGTTGAGTCAGGTGTGTTAGTGCTGGGCTGGAAAGAAAGCCTGCACACACTAAAACTCTCCAGGAGCAGGAATGAATACGGTAGTTAATAGTTACTAAATAAATACATTGTTTTGATTCTTAAAATTGGCTGGAGGTCAAATCAATCATATCTTACAGTTTATCTTATAAAAAGGTGCATAAAAGAAATCCTTCCCTCTTTTCTTTGTTTAAATGAAAAGCAGTCAATAGTTTTTTCACCACATAGATACATTACCCATGTACATACATGGAAAGAAGAGAGAATCTGCCCTCGGTTTAACAGATGGATAAATGGATGGATAGATGGATGGAGGATATTTCCAAGCAGCAATGAGAGCCTTTACATAGAGAATGGGGCAACACCTCATGATCCTTCAATCATAAAATACATCATAGCATGGATCTTATTAAGGTCTATACAAATGTCTAAATCAGTTGCTTGTACAACAGTGGTTTCCAGATTTTTTGTGCTGTGACCCCTATTTATTTAAAAACCTTTAAATGTCAATATGCCCCTCTGGACAAATTAAACAATGCTTTAGGCCACAACCCACATTTAGATATCCACAACCCAGTACTGCAATGGGCCCCGACCATCTTTTAGGGACCATGGCTTAGGACATCAGTTATGTCATGCTTATGACAGACTCAAGTAGCCTTAATGTCAGAGGGTTCCAATTAAGTGTTGAGATTAGTGACGTAAGTACGTATGTGTGTGTGTTTGAATGTGTGTGAGTGTGTGTCTAAAGAGCGCGAGGCCTCTTGGGGTTGATCTGTTTGCTCGCCTGCTCCTCTTCCTGGAGCGTAGAACGGAAACCCTTCACTTTGTCTGAGAGAGGAAGCGAGAGGGGAGGAAAGAGGGGAGGAAAGAGGGGAGGAAAGAAGGGAGGATTGAAAGGAGGTAAGAAGGTAGAGGCTTAGATATAATCTGTAAAAAATACTATGAAACGTCATCTTGTTTCTTACTTCCAAATAACATTACATTTACATTACATTTACGTCATTTAGCAGACGCTCTTATCCAGAGCGACTTACAATCACAATTCATTTAATGATTGCTTAGTTCTGATCTAGAATCGGTTATTAGAACCCCACGTTACCTCTGAGCTCAATGAGGATGTCTATCTTCTGATCCAGGATCTGTTCTAGCTGCGTGGCGTAGGAGTCTACATCGTAGTCCACTTCCTCTGTCATCTCCAACAGAACCTTCTCATCCTCCAGCCAGCGGATAGACTCCTGCACCGGACACACACAGGAACACACACAGAGAATGAAACACCTACTCTGAACTATGGCTACACGGTATGGCCATAAAATCTAATAGAGATTTTTTTTAACCAAATAATGTATTTTGACTTGTGATATAGATCAAAACACTTGGGATAACTGTTGGAATCATAGAAACAGAATGATTTATATTAAGAAGCGAAGTGGAAAAAAGCATAATTCTTGTTTGGAACAATCTGTTGACTGCATTTGACCTAACAAAACAGCAAGCAAACTTCTAGTGAATCTAACAGCGAGGAGAAGGAAGTGCGCTGATCGAGTGACAGGTTGCAAGGCTTGTTGTGCGTGTTGCAGCCACAAGAGGAGAGAAAGGAGACAACAAATGGAGTAAACTATAAAAACTGACATTACGCGGCTGAATGGCGTTTCAAAATATTGCATGCGATATGGATCCCTTGCGATATGGATATTGCACGTTAAGATTACGATTTCGATGTCAATTCGATTAACTGTGCAGCCCTACTCTGAACTATATGTGTGTGTGTGTGTGTTTGTGTGTGTGTGTGTACCTGAAACACAGCTCGGTGGTCTTCCAGCACCTGTTCCTCCATCTCCACCAGCTGAGACACAGCTTCATGAAAGGTAAAGAGCTGGGGGGACACCTCCTCTTCCTGGAGAGAAGGAGGGGAGAGAGAGAGAGAGGCCGATGGAGGGAGGGGAGACACAATACCCAATAATGACAAAGCAAAAACAGGTTTTTAGAAATGTTTGCAAATGTATTACAAATACAAAACGGAAATATCACATTTACATAAGTATTCAGACCCTTTACTCAGTACTTTGTTGAAGCACCTTGGCAGAGATTACAGCCTCGAGTCTTCTTGGGTATGACGCTACAAGTTTGGCTCACCTGTATTTGAGGAGTTTCTCCCATTCTTCTCTGTAGATCCTCTCAAGCTCTGTCAGGTTGGATGGGGAGCATCGCTGCACAGCTATTTTAAGGTCTCTCCAGAGATGTTCGATTAGGTTCAAGTCCGGGCTCTAGCTGGGCCAATCAAAGACATTCGGAGACTTGTCCCGAAGCCACTCCTGCGTTGTCTTGGCTGTGTGCTTAGGGTTGTTGTCCTGTTGGAAGGTGAACCTTCGCCCCAGTCTGAGGTCCTGAGCGCTCTGGAGCAGGTTTTCATCAAGGATCTCTCTGTAATTTGCTCCGTTCATCTTTCCCTCTATCCTGACTAGTCTCCCACTCCCTGCCGCTGAAAAATATCCCCACAGCATGATGCTGCCACCACCATGCTTCACCGTAGGGATGGTGCCAGGTTTCCTCCAGACATGACTCTTGGCATTCAGGCCAAATAGTTCAATCTTGGTTTCATCAGACCAGAGAATCTTGTTTCTCGTGGTCTGAGTCCTTTAGTTGCCTTTTGGCAAACTCTAAGCAGGCTGTCTTGTGCCTTTTACTGAGGAGTGGCTTCCGTCTGGCCACTCTACCATAAAGGCCTGATTGGTGGAGTGCTGCAGAGATGGTTGTTCTTCTGGAAGGTTCTCCCATCTCCACAGAGGAACTCTGGAGCTCTGTAAGAGTGGCCATCGGGTTCTTGGTCACCTCCCTGACCAAGGCCCTTCTCCCCCGATTGCTCAGTTTGGCCAGGCGGCCAGCTCTAGGAAGAGTCTTGGTGGTTTCAAACTTCTTCCATTTAAGAATGATGGAGCCCACTGTGTTCTTGGGGACCTTCAATGCTGCAGACATATTTTGGTATCCTTCCCCAGATCTGTGCCTCGACACAATCCTGTCTCGGAGCTCTACGGAAAATTCCTTCGTCCTCATGGCTTGGTCTTTGCTCTGACATGCAACTGTGGGACCTTATATAGACAGGTGTGTGCCTTTCCAAATCATGTCCAATCAATTGAATTTTCCACAGGTGGACTCCAATCAAGTTGTAGGAACATCTCAAGGATGATCAATGGAAACAGGATGCACCTGAGATCAATTTCGAGTCTCATAGCTAAGGGTCTGAATACTTATGTAAATAAGGTATTTTATTTTATTATTAATTTCCAAACATTTCTAAAAACCTGTTTTCGCTTTGTCATTATGTGTGTAGATTGAGGACAATTTTTTATTTAATCAATTTTAGAATAAGGCTGTAACGTGACAAAATGTGGAAAAAGTCAAGGGGTCTGAATACTTTCCGAATGCACTGTATACAGAGGTAACTGTACAGTAGGTGTGTGTGAATGTGTTCTTACATTCTGTTCACAGAGAAGTTTGAGGTCGTCCCTCTGAGGGGAGCTGCCGACCCCCCACTGAGCCTCCAGGACCTCCAGCTGGGTGACGCTGTGTCCTCCCCGCCCCTCCATCATCACCCCGGGGGCCACCGTCAGCTCCTTCACCCTGTCGACGCACACAAACAAACACACACACACACACACACACACACACAGGCACGCAAGCACAAACACGTACGCACACATGTACACACGTACGCAAGCATGTACGCACACACACACATATGCAAGCACACACATGTATGCGCATACACACACACACACACACACATTAGTCGTTTTCTCTGACCACATGATCTTCTGATTGGTTAAAACAGTCAATTAACCAATGGGAACGAATAGAGACATTCTTAGGCAGGAGTTTGAAGGACAAGCTGGGAAAGAAAAACATGGAAAACTAAAAACTGCTTCTGAAATGAATGAATTAAAAACAGTTAAACATATAAGCATGCCACAATTCAGCAATGACAAACTGAAACTGAAGGTCAAAGCTCATGAACAGTCAAAATCATGTTTTTCATGAAATTGGATCAAAGTATGATGACCAAAGTATGAAAAGTTAACTGTTTCTACATTGATAAAGTTTGAACATAAAGGTACTGATCCCCTCCCCTGTGTCAAACACTTGGATTCAGGAGGCGGGATTATTAAGGGGATAGGGTGACATCACCCTAACGCTCTCATTTTAATACACCAATGGTAACATGATATTCTCTTACCTAATTTAAATAAGTACCGCCTTGTAACCAACATTGGAGAAGGCGTGTTTTAAAAGGGGCGTGATTTATATAGCTAGATAGCTACTCAACTGGTGTCAAAATCTGTAGGTTGTCAGCAAACATAATTACCCTATTCATCTATGGCAAAGATACTTATATATTTCCCATTTCATCTGTGTCTGGTGTTAGCTAGTTACTGGCTAGCTAGGTCTTCAGCCAGCATGGAACAAAAGGTGAGGGGGGTCTTTGAAAACTCTGACGCAGTTGTCATTTTAACACATCCGTCAGTGCTGCTGTGAACCATATCACAAGAGACATGCCACACAGGAGATGTATAAAAAAATCATTGATGCTATGATTAAATCATTGATGCAATTTCAATGTTGCTTGAGTTGCTTTATGTATCACCACATTTTCTTGAGATGATTTTACTGCAACACTGCTCACTGCATCCAAGTTGCTTGACATAGGTGTTTCAAAGAGCTGTCAGTCAAGGTGAGCTCATGAATATAAGCTCACCGTCCACTTAGCCTGTCTTTTCAAACTTCCTGGTAGTTGGCAATGAGAAAAAAATCAGTTTTTCCGAAAGTTTTAAGCATTTCTATCCAAAACAAATATTATGGGTGGTATTTTAGTCACTCAAAAGGCTATTTTACATGGGAATCAGAATTACTGTTCGGGACCTTTAAATAAATTATATCAGTGCAGGTTAAATAAATGAAAAAAAATCTAATAAATGAAATCAAACTGAAACAAGCTGAAAAACATGAGGCCTTGCAGGTTTGTAGCCATCCCTTACTTATATGGAAACCAGATATTCGCAACACGTAAGTAAATGCAAAGGGGTACTTAGAGGTGTACAAAATAAAAAGAAAGGTCAAAGTTACCCCTATAACCCCTGGTCAAGGATCAAATGGATATTTTCTTTATGGCCTGATTGGCTTTATAGTTATTATACGGTTACAGTTCATCTGGAGTCAAATGAGAGGCAGAACAGAGGATGGGTTTGTATGTGAGCTAGTGGAGATCACAAACATAGAAACAAAGAAGATGAAGTAAGTACGGTAGGTAAGAGATCAGTAGAGAGGAGAGACCTGGTGGGAGAGGTGGGAAAGTCATCGTACTCGTAGGTGTTAGTGGGGGAGAGCTCAGCACGACTCCCCCCTCCACCACCCTGCTGCTGGGAGAAGGGGATGTCTGATGGGCTGATCCCAAACTCCTTCACTCTGGAGAGGGGGAGAGAGAGACATACACAAAACGACGGAGAAGATCCAGTCAGTATAAGGTCTGGTCATACATTAGAGGGTAAATGTTTTGGCTCGTATCAAGAAGAGGGAGTGAGAGGAGGTAGAGAGGGGGAAGGTTATTCTGCAATGACAACTTGAATTAACTTCTCCCTATCAACCAACAGTCTTAGTAATTAGTCGGTGTTGAGATGTAGACAGTCAGTTAGCGTGGTCTCACCTGTTGGCGTATCTCAGAGTGTTTAGAGTGTTTTCACAGGAAGCCATTCCAGGAGATATAGTGGCAATCTGTGTGGAGAAATAACAGTTACTACATCATTAGAAAATCATCATCGTTGGTGCTTAGTAGATAAACAGCAAACCAGGTAGTTGTGAAGTACAGGAAGTGTTGAAGGCACAATCTGCAGTAGCTATATCCATTTTTGGACTTATAAATTAATTATATGTACCCATAAATTCTTCAATAATATAACTTCATGAGTTTAGTACCCCATCAGAACCCAAAATATAAGCTTGTTTAACTCTTAACAAAGTAAATGTAAACAAACACTGTATAGCCTCAAAACATAGTTAGAACTATCATTTTGATATCATGGATGGTCAGTCCTTGCATCCATAGCTCTGTCTATGAATTTGAGAGTGGTTACATTTCTCCAGCCCCATCCCTCAGCTTTTTAGCGAAACAGGGGCGGGGAGTACGCTTTGTTATTGTTTCAACTGCTGATCGCCACTTTAAAGGATTTTTATATACAGTATTATCTCACCATGCAGGTCCTGGAGTTCTCCCCAATGAAGGAGTCTCTAAGAACCTGGGTCAGCTTGCTGGCTCTAAACGGGGTGTGGGGCTTGTTCCGACCCAGGGCTCTGATACACTCCTTGAGTGCCAGCAGGCTCTTGTTGATCTCGGCCCCCTCCAGGCGAGTCTGGCGGTCAGCACTGGACGTGTCGGCCCCCCTCTCGTTCCCCGCCAGGTCGATCAGCGAGAACTTGCCGTGCATCTTCCCTCGCCGCCTCAGAATGATCTGGAACACAGCGTGGCTACGGGACGAGTGGGCGTTGGCCGAGGTCTGACCTGACGTCCTGGGAGAGAGGGAGAGATGGAGAGAGATGGGACAGAGAGAGTGGAAGAGGAGGAGGAGCAAGAGAGGGGGGAGAGAGAGATGACAGAGAGGGGGAGGGAGGGAGAGTAAGCAGCAGGAAATGACTGGCAGGAATAGAATAGTATTTTCAGATCTTTAAAGAAAGTTACCGCCAATCAATTAAACCATCCCACTCCACCCCTCCCTCCTACTCTCCCTCTGTGGTTGTACCTGCAGCTGTTTCCAACCTCTATGAGTTTGAGGACGTCTTCAGTACATTTGACATCTCTCTCCTGCAGCCCAACCACCTGCACCTGCTGCTTCCCATCCTCCAGAACCCTCAGCTTGGCTTTACGGTTCAGCAGGTCAAACACCTAGAGAACCGCAACACAACCATGCGGCCAGGTTTACACAACCACAACCATCCTTCAGCACACGCAGTTTGGCTTTACGGTTCAGCAGGTCAAACACGTACAGAACCACAACCACAAAACACGGTCATATAAAGACAGTCAACACAGCCACCCTCCAGGCTTTACGGTTCAATATAGGGGGTTTGAAGATGCATGTATTGTGGTGATTTCACTTGCCTTCCCGCTGTAGATCTCAAAGAAGGTGGAGTAGACATTGAGGTCTAACTTCTTGTAGTTTGGCTTCTTCAGCATGAGAAACACATCTCTCGCTGCACAGAGAGAAAGGGTTTCACTGAAGAGACACAACTTTACACAAATACACAGAAAGAACATGTTTTAACTAAAGAAACACAACTTTTTCTGGAGAGAGAGATATGGTGTAGTGTTCGTACCAGCCAGTGCGTAGATCCCTTTAGAACAGTCCTGGTTCTTCCCCGAAAAGTCTCCTCCCATAGTCTGAAAGGGAAAGGGGTGCGATGAACTCCCAAACGAAGGCAATGTGCCAAAAAAGAAAGACTAGAAAGTGCTTGCTGGCATACAGCATTATCAAGTTGGCATTCAAATGTTAGCCGACACACACAGGAAGTGATCATCATCAGTGCCACTCACATGTGTTTTCCCACTTCCTGTCTGTCCGTAGGCGAAGCAGGTGGCCATTCCCCTCTCAAAGATGGTCTCCACCAGTGGTCGGGCGGTGAACCTGGGGACAGGGAGAATAAATGGTTTACTTGAAAAGTTAGTTCACCCAAATCAAAGTAAAGATAATCTAAATTACAATATTATACTTTGAACTCACACTTTCAAATAAACCATGTTATGTCAATGGGAGTTTTGACACATACACATATCTCCAGTTAGAACTCGTCCCAGTACACATTATTATTTTTGTTCTTGAAACGTACCTCCACACCAGACGCTATTACCTCTTGAAAGTTGAGAAGGGAAACATACCGATAGACCATATCATTGTCGGTGCTGTCGTCAAAGGCATAATCGAAGCGGAAGGTCTGGTTCTCAAGGTATCTGGTCAGGTCCACCTTCTGCTTGGGCTCATGGACCATCACCACATCCTTACTGGGGATGGTGATCACATCCAGGTCCTTCATAGTCAACTCTGGAGGGGGAGGGGGGAGGTGAAAATAGTTCTGAATAACCCACTGGAACATTTCAATAACCCACATTTGAAATATAAATAATGTTTCCATGTGAAAGTGTGAGGAATGTGATGCTGTTAAATCTCTGCATGTAAAAGACCATGTAACCAAAAGTTTGTGTGCCTGTTTTCGATTGATAAAATGTGTACCTTTTTTATTGAGGGGCCGTGCTCGTACACAAACACATATCCTGTGCTCCTCATCGATCTGAAAGTTGAAACAATGTCATACAAGATGTGATTTAGTTAGTGGCCAATGAAGATGTGGCACCACTCTATGAAAATAGATCTACACCTAACCAGTTTAGCAGACAGATATGGATAAAGACATACCAGATCAGCGGTGGTTAGAGGCCTGTAGTCCAGACTGGCTCTGAAGTCTCTGATCATACACATGATCTCATAGTTAGGCACAGTGACATCTACCTCCTGGGAGAGAACGGCACAGTCAACAGTGTGTGTGTGTGTTAGTGATGTGCGGGTTACCGCAGTCCCAGCGGATATATCCTCGGGGCGGGCGGGTTTAGGGTCATGAAATATTGTGTGGATGAAGGGCGGGTTGAATAAAGAAAAAAGAATGCATAAAAAAATCCATTAATGTATAATTATTGTGCAATTTATATATATATTTTTTATACTTTTACCCCCTATTGGTAGTTACAGTCTTGACCCATCGCTGCAACTCCCGTACAGACTCAGGAGAGGCGCACTGCTTGCTTAACCCGGAAGTCAGCCGCACCAATGTGTACAACTGGCAACCGAAGTCAGCTTGCAAGCGCCCGGTCCGCCACAAGGAGTCGCTAGAGCGCAATGAAATCCCGGCCGGCCAAACCCTCCCCTAACCCGGACGATGCTGGGCCAATTGTGCGCCGCCTAATGGGTCTCCCGGTCACGGCCAGCTGCGACACAGCCTGGGATCGTACCCAGGTCTGTAGTGACCCCTCAAGCAATGCGATGCAGTGCCTTAGATCGCTGCGCCACTCAGGGGGCCCGTGCAATTTATACCTACATTTAGTTTTTTTCTGGCATTAGTGCGTAAGCCTAAGCTTTAAGGACTAACTGTATGCACACCAAAAAGCCTAAACGCCAAATGCTTTTGGGAATGCGCAGAAAACGTTAACGTCATCTACAGAGGCAAAAAGTACAATGTAGGACTTTAATTCAATAAGAGCTGCAAAATGGAGAGTTGAAAATAATGAGAAGAGAGGGACAGAAAAGTAATGTTTGGGAAAGATTTGGTGAAGTGGTAAAAGAGGATGATAGCAGTGCCGGCTATGTTATGTGTGATGATTGTGAGGCGCTATACAAGACAGTCACAAGACGGGGACTTCAAATGGGCCTATGGCACGTCAAGGGAACTGTAGCCTACTGTTCAAATGGGTTAAATGGAAACTGAAACACTCACTGTAGGTCTATAACCTCTCACATAGCCTTCATATTAACTCTTGCAGAATTAAGCATTTCTTGCAGTAAAATTATACACCAAATGTAGGAAAATGTTTGACTCAGGAACAAGAGATAAATGATTTATTTCTTTCAGCATCTTGAGAGAATGCAAGTGTGCAGTTAGATACCGTCTGTAGAGGTGCTATCTTTATTAGCATAATAAAAGCTGTTAGTATTTCAATCACATAAAATAGCCCAAGCCAAACTGAAATCTTATCAGAAACATGTTGGGTCGTTTTCACAGATTTATATTTCATTACAACCGGTCATTTTGAAATTTTGCCCTGAAAATCGTTACCTTTTTCTTTTTTTTTGCATTTTATCCCGGTCCCTAAACGTCTTTGCTCCGCGAAAGAAGCAGAGATGACAGAGAAATGTTACCGATTTCAACTAGATTGAAGCATTCATTCTATCGATTTATGACATTATTCTGGTGAGCAAGGGTTTATTTAGTCTTTTAGGGCAACATATAATGACAGAAGAGAAGCTGCATGTATCTAAATATAGACAAGCTGACTAACAAATAGCCTACCAAAATGTCGGAAATTATAAGAAGAAACATACACTATATTTACAAAAGTATGTGGACACCCCTTCAAATTAGTGGATTCGGATATTTCAGCCACTCCTGTTGTTGACAGGTGTATAAAATCGAGCACACAGCCATGCAATCTCCATAGACAAACACTGGCAGTAGAATGGCCTTACTGAAGAGCTCAGTGACTTTCAACGTGGCACTGTCATAGGATGCCACCTTTCTAACAAGTCAGTTCGTCAAATTTCTGCCCTGCTAGAGCTGCCCCGGTCAACTGTAAGTGCTGTTATTGTGAAGTGGAAACTTCTAGGAATAGCAACGGCTCAACCGCGAAGTGGTAGGCCACACAAGCTCACAGAACGGGACCGCCGAGTGCTGAAGCCCGTATAAATCGTCTTGCAACACTCACTACCGAGTTCCAAACTGCCTCTGAAAGCAACGTCAGTACAATAACTGTTCATTGGGAGCTTCATGAAATGGGTTCCATGGCCGCACACAAGCCTAAGATCACCATGCGCAATGCCAAGCGTTGGATGGAGTGGTGTAAAGCTCGCCACCATTGGACTCTGGAGCAGTGGAAACGCGTTCTCTGGAATGATGAATCACGCTTCATCATCTGGCAGTCCGACGGACGGATCTGGGTTTGGCGGATGCCAGGAGAACGCTACCTTCCCCAATGCATAGTGCCAACTGTAAAGTTTGGTGGAGGAGGAATAATGGTCTAGGGCTGTTTTTCATGGTTCGGGCTAGGCCCCTTAGTTCCAGTGAAAGGAAATCTTAACGCTACAGCATACAATGACATTCTAGACGATTATGTGCTTCCAACTTTGTGGCAACAGTTTGGGGAAGGCCCTTTCCTGTTTCAGCATGACAATGCCCCCGTGCACGAAGTGAGGTCCATACAGAAATGGTTTGTCGAGATCGGTGTGGAAGAACTTGACTGGCCTGCACAGAGCCCTGACCTCAACCCCATCGAACACCTTTGGGATGAATTGGAATGCCGACTGCGAGCCAGGCCTAATCGCCCAATATCAGTGCCCGACCTCACTAATGCTCTTGTGGCTGAATGGAAGTAAGTCCCCGCAGCAATGTTCCAACATCTAGTGGAAAGCCTTCCAAGAAGAGTGGAGAATGTCATAGCAGCAAAGGGGTCCAACTCCGTATTAATGCCCATGATTTTGGAATTAGATGTTCGACGGGCAGGTGTCCACATACAATTGTTCCGACATCTCTGACTGTAGCCTACAGGCATTTTCTATATTAGTGGGTTAGGGTTGGGTGCAGGCCTCAGATTTTCACTTTATCACATATAGTCGGGTGGTTGCGGATCGGTTATTAGCAATTGCGGGTAGGTGTGGGTGAACAAACTGCGCACCACTCGTGTGTGTGTGACCCTACCTGTGCCTTCTTATCTCTCAGCTCCTGTTGTTGCAGTCGCCTTCTCTCTCGTTTCTCCTGCAGTTTCTCCACCTCCTTCACACAGTTGGATTTCCGCCGCGCTGAACCCGTACAGGGTAGGAAAACACATTTATCAAATATAATCTATCATAAATGTATAATAGTGGTCCATTTCATTTCTACTGTCTGTTCCGTTTCAATATACTTCAAAGCTCTTCAGAGGCAAATACACAAGGCAACAAAAGGATAAAAACATGAGTGCTAAGCAACACATTCAATAAGCTCATAATAAAGCCCCCCTCCCAGGAATAGAGCGCAGCTCAGTGAAAGAGCTATCCTCTGGCTGCCTCTGTTCTCTCAGCAGTACAGCTGGGCTAATAAGCCTATCTGTGTCTGTCTGCCTGGGAGCATTAGATCACTGGTCATGTGTCCCATCATCATAACCCACCAGACTGAACAACACATCTCAACACAGCAGAGAGCTCTGAAACCAGGGTTTAAACTAATAGGAGATTTTTTAAAAAGACTAGTTGTTAACATGGCAATGTATTTAACAATAACCAGGACTATTTAGCGACACAAAGCTGCAGTGTGTTTGTGTGTATTACCGTTTTGCTGCTGTTGTAGTGTCATCTGCTGTGTCTGTAGGGATGTGAGTGCTGCAGGTGGGGGTGCTTCTGGTTGGTTCTGCATCTGACTGGGTCTGGCCCGCGTAGTCCCCACCGCTGCAGCTGGAGACACACAACATACATCATTCACATTACATTTTAGTCATGCCTGTACATTTTGTTTAGTACATTTACACTTAGTACATGACATATTATCTTTGGGCATCTTATCTTCTTATTGATTGCTTTTAAAATCAGAATAGGAGTAATGACAGTCCCATATCTGTCATCCTCAGGTGATTGTCAGTACATTATCTTGACATTAATATGTTATCGTTCTCCAAGAACACTAGTCTCTGTAAATTTATGGAGTTAGACGTGCTAAGTCGATCTCTCTCACTGAAGAGCCGTAGAGAGCTAGGAGAGAAGGAGAGGAGAGAGAGAAGAGAGAGAGGAGAGAAGACGAGCAGAGAGAGAGAGAGCGAGCGAGATTCGACTCTCTATACTCTCTATCTCTATTCTCTCTCTCTCTCTCTCTCTCTCTCTCTCTCTCTCTCTCTCTCTCTCTCTCTCTCTCTCTCTCTCTCTCTCCAGATATCACAGTGCCTGAGGGCTATTTTCACCACGTATTCACAGATGGCACAGCTGTTGCTTCTATTGAAACAGAAAAAGAGATATATTACTCTCATGGTACAGTGGGTCAGTAGGATGTTATGTAGCTATGGACCCTGTTCAAATGTAGTGCACTATAAAGGGAATAGGGTGCCATTTGGGACACAGCCGTAGTCTCGCGTTGACAGACTTCAAAGTCTTTGCTCTGGAACGTGAGGAGGCTTGGAGATCAAAGTTCTGTTGAAGCTGTCTTGCCTCTGTTTTCTCTTGCTGGGGTTTCAGTCTTGGGGGGTGCTATTGTTCGCCGGTTCTACAAGAGACAAAATAATACCATATGAATGTAAAGAAGCAGATGTGACACATGAAAATAGCTAATACTTTCCCATGATTAAAGTATACTGTACAGACATATGGATTTTGGCCACAGTAGAGTACACTATTAGAGAATGACCTTGGGTGGCTTGATTTGTTTGGCAGCAGAGGAGATGGAGGTGGCAGGAGGCGGGGTCTCAGGACTCTGTACTACCTCCTCTTCTGGAGCCACATCTGGGTTCAGAGCAAAGATGCTCTCCAGGTCAATCTGCATGGGGCGAGGGTACAACATACATGTTAAAACTCTGTTCCAGCCTCTCCAACCTAATGTGTGTATGTATATACACTGAGTGTACAAAACATTAGGAACATCTTCCTAATATTGAGTTGTACACCCTTTTGCCCTCAGAACAGCCTTAATTCGTCGGGGCATGGACTCTACAAGGTGTCGAAAGCGTTCCACAGGGATGCTGGCCCCTGTTGACTCCAATGCTTCCCACAGTTGTGTCAAGTTGGCTGGGTGTCCTTTGGGTGGTGGACCATTCTTGATACACACTGGGAAACTGTTGAATGTGAAAAACCCAGCAGCGTTGCAGTTCTTGACACACTCAAACCAGTTGACACACTACTACCACACCCCGTTAGAAGGCACTTCAATCTTATGTCTTACCCATTCACCCTCTGAATGGCACACATACACAATCCATGTCTCAATTGTCTCAAGGCTTAAAAATCCTTCTTTAACCTGTCTCCTCCCCTTCATCTACACTGATTGAAGTGGGTTTAAGAAGTGACATCAATAAGGGATCATAGCTTTCACCTGGATTCACTTGGTCAGTCTATGTCATGGAAAGTGCAGGTGTTGCTAATGTTTGGTACACACAGTGTATATCGGAGGGGTTGGGTGAAAAAAAGCTAAAGACAAATGAATGTCTCGTATGGAATAATAAAGTAATCTCTTAACTCAGGAAAATACAAGAATGCCACACTTTTTGCTTCATGTGCAGTGAGATTGATTAACAATTTACCAGTGACATTTAAGAAGTGAAATAGGCTACCATGTTAAAACGTGTAATCCTAAAGGGGGGCACACAGTGGCGGTTTTACACGGAGGCCGGGGGAGGCCCGTGCCTCCCTGGAAATGTCCCTGGCCACCCCTGTGGCCCCCCCGTGCTGACCAAATAAAAAATTATGAATTTATAACTATTTTACACGCGAGCGCCAAAAGCGGAACTAATGCAACGCTCTACACGGCAACGTTCTACACGGGTAAATTAGAGTGGCGCACCCAAAAACTGTATCCTGCCATCTGCCTGCCTGCCACGTGTGGTGCTGCTTCGGTGAATGAGAGCTCAGCAACTACTATTTGCGAGAGGAGCTACGATTTGCAGGAGTCGAAGGTAAGAAAAACGATTTAATATCATAAGTGACTTGTTGTTCTTGCACATAGCCTACATGTTCCTTTTGTTCCTCACACATAAATCAAATCAAGTTTTTAAATGTCTGGTCTCGATTTGTTTAGAAATTTAATCATATCTAAGCAAACTCATCGAAGCAGAAGCAAATATCCAAATGTTAGTAGGCTATCCTTGCTAGGTCTACACAATGTTGTGATGTTAACCACGTAACTTAATCCGTCTTGGCTGTTGCATCGCGATAACAAATACATTTTTAGTAAAGTAATCAACAGGTTATCTGCCATGGTTAGGTAACAAAATGTAATGCATGCCCCTACGTTTTTTCTTCTTCTAATAGTTATCATGAAACGAGGAAGGGACATAAAGTCATTTTTTGCCCCAGCAAACAAAAAAGTGAGAGAAACAAATCGAGGTTTTGAGAAAGTTGAGGAAGCCAGCATGTGATGAAAGTGAGGGGTCTGACAAAGAGAGGGAAATTCCAGAGGGTGAGGAGGATGAAGAAGAGGGTGAGGAGGATGAAGAAGAGGGTGAGGAGAATGAAGAAGAGGGCGAGGAGAATGAAGAAGAGGGTGAGAAGCATGAAGAAGAAAGCATACAGGGACAGAGAGATGAACAGCCAGAGGGACAGCAAGTGGATCCATGTGGATCAAGTACTGCACCATCAGGTTTGTGATGAGGAAGGTTCTTACTATTTGCAAAGCAATGCAATTACAATGTAATGGTAGGCCTGCTGGGTGTCCTTAAAATGCTGCTTTCTGCTGTTAATTCTTTTTTGTGTCAATATGGCTCTGTTTTTTTTTTAAGTAAATACTTTGCCTACATTTTGAAATACATGCAGATATACAGTAAATAAATGTTGTAGTTGTGCCCTATGTTTACTGTCCATCTTCTTCAGATATCAGCAAGTCTAAGTATGACGTACCAGTACAGCCGAACTTGAAGATATTCCCAACCACACTGATGGGGGACAGAAGACGAAGCTTCAGACCAAACTGGTACACTACTCATCCATGGCTTGAGTATTCTGTAATGACGGACTCTACATGTTGCTATGCATGTAGACATTTTAGCACACCAAATGCCCCAGACACCGTTTTTGTTTCAACACCTGGTTTTACAAACTGGAAAAAGGCAACTATGAGAAATGCAGGGTTTTCACTACATGCAAAGTCTGAACGACACAAGTGTGCAATGATCGCATGGAGGGATTATCAAAGAGCTGTTAGAACTGACGAATTTTTTCCTAATGTGAACTATGGTGGAAATGTGCTGTCCTAAATGGACTTGCCCATAAATGTTGTAAAGCTTTTTTTTGTACACCTGCTCATCAACTGACAGTGAAGTACACAAAGACACAGACACACACACCTGTAATATTCTTGTTTTCATGTTGTTGCTGATATCCATCAGTGTTGTTCATATTGCTACATTGTGTTGACATGATTGTTGCTTTTAAACGAATGTTAACTTAATGTTTATTGTCTGCATCCTATTGGACTACTGGATGTTAATGTGTAACACGTTTCCCTGTTTATGTGCTTTAGCAATACTGTATGTCAATATGGTCATGCTAGTAAAGCCTCTTTGAATTGAATTTCTTTTCTGATTTGGTTTATTTTACCTAAATGGATACAGGGTAGTGTGTTTTGTTTATAAATCACTCAGAAAGTTTTCTTTCTTAAAACAAAATGTGGAATCAACTGTCCACAGTAGTGGGGCTTCCATAAATAGGAAATGGCACATTGTTGTACCCTTTGTTGTATCCTGGAGTTTTGTTCACATTGAATATGAACCCTGTATTTGTACCCTGTACTTTTTAATTTTTTTTAATTTATTTCTTTTTTCTTTTTTATGGCACTATCTCTCTTGCATCTGCACTCTTGTACAAAATACGTGTTATAATAAATGTCATATGATTTTAAAGTAAAATAAAGTTTATAATCTTTGAATATCATGTGTTGCCAGTTTTTTTATGTGTGCCCCCCTGATTAAACACTGGCCCCTCCTTGGCCCCCCTAGTAAAATGTGTCTAGAACCGCCACTGGGGGCACACACGCACAAACAAACACACACACACACTACTTAAGGGCATCCGTAGTAAAGCTGATTTGCAGTAAATTCTCTGAGTCCTAAAACTTTCAATGCTCCATCTGGCACAAGCTGATAGGGGGTCAGACATGACTGATGAACACACACACACAGTACCTCTTTTCCTTTCGTGTCTCCATTCTCTATCCATTCCACCGTGACACTCTCGTTGTCTTCATTCAGTGATGTGACCATTGCCTGGTGGATTCGACCTGCAAGAAACATGTTATAAACATAGAACAGCTTTAGTGTAGACTCCTAAAGGCTACGGAACCATAACATATTATTTCAGCCATGTGACCACATGACATGATGGATTTGTCCTGGCTGCCATAGATGGGAGAAAACAGTTGTAGACACATACAGTCATACGCTCTGGCTATTGAAATTCAGCCAATGACCACAACACACTAGATCACACTGACCAAAGAGGATGACGATGAGACCAGCCAAAATCGGCCAGTATGGGAGGAGACCTTCAGTAACAGATGAGTTAATTACCCTGGATCTGACTGGTTGACATTTAAAAAAGCTTCACATGCATGTCAACATTCAACTGCTTCAGTTGCATTTCGTTATGTTATTGTACATGCAAAATGGTTTGTTTCCATAATATTTCTAGTCTTATGTGTCATGTCTCATTCTAAACAGCTATAGCTATTCTCTTTGGGATCAGCCCAAATTACTAAAAACATTTTAAAAAATACTGTCACACTGTTGGTTGAGCAGATAATTCAATTAAATCAAATAAGACAGGTTCATTGCTGCAGAATCACTAAGAGTGTGTCTTTTGCTAGTCCTTCCCTGGAGCTAGAGCAGACGATAATTAAATAAATAGCAACCAAACACTATTCACTTTAGACTAGCAAGGTCTACTATATAAAGTAGTAGCTAGTAGGCTATAGTCAGACAGTGGCTAGCCGACTAAACTCAACTCCACGATTTACGATGGGGTTGCGTGGCGACTTGTGTGGGCGAACTGGAGTTCCAACGTCACATAGTTTTTTTCAAAAACTACGGATTTCAGCACCCAAAGAATAGCCCGCATTTACACATGACATGGGCGCAGGTGAACCCTAGCCCTATAAAGGTGTGTATCAATTTAACGCTTTGATTTTTGAAAATTCTTCCTCGCTGATATGAAAGATAAGGTCATTTTGCTTCCAAAACCGTACTGCAAGCGATGCGTGTTATTGTTCAGACCGAGCAACGGGTCTTTAACAAAACTCCCCAGTACAAAAGACGCCTTCGTCCAATGACTCTTATACCGTGCCATCAGAAAGTATTCACACCCCTTGACTTTTTCCAAATGTTTTGTGTTACAGCCTTAAAATTGATTACATTTACATTTTTTCTCACTGGCCTACACACAATACCCCATAATGTCAAAGTTTTACAAACTAATTACAAATGAAAAGCTGAAATGTCTTGAGTCAATAAGTAATCAACCTCTTTGTTATGGCAAGCCTAAATATGTTCAGGAGTAAAAATGTGCTTAACAAGTCACATAATATGTTGCAATAAAAGTGTTTAACGTGATTTTTGAATGACTACCTCATCTCTGTACCCCACACATACAATTATCGGTAAGGTCCCTCAGTCGAGCAGTGAATTTCAAACACAGATTCAACCACAAAGACCAGGTAGGTTTTCCAATCTCGCAAAGAAGGTAGATGGGTAAAAATAAAAAAGCAGACATTGAATATACCTTTGAGCATGGTGAAATTTTTTATTACACTTTGGATGGTGTATCAATACACCCAGTCACTACAAAGAAACAGGCATCCTTCCTAACTCAGTTGCCGGAGAGGAAGGAAACCGCTCAGGGATTTCACCATGAGGCCAATGGTGACTTTAAAACAGTTTAGAGTTTAATGGCTGTGATAGGAGAAACTGATGATGGATTAACAACATTGTAGTTACTCAACAATACTAACCTAATTGACAGTGAAAAGAAGGAAGCCTGTACAAAATAAAAATATTCCAAAACACGCATCCTATTTGCAACAAAGCACCAAAGCAATACTGCAGAAAATGTGGCAAAGCAATTAACTTTTTTTCCTGAATACGAAGTGTTATGTTTGGGGCAAATCCAATAGAACACATTAGTACCACTCTCCATATTTTCAAGCATCGTGGTGGCTGCATCATGTTATGGGTATGCTTTAAATTGTTACGGACTGGGGAGTTTTTCAGGAGAAAAAAGAAACGGAATGGAGCTAAGCACAGGCAAAATCCTAGAGGAAAACCTGGTTTAGTCTGCTTTCCACCAGACACGGTGAGATTAATTCACCCTTCAGCAGGAAAATAACCTAAAACACAAGGCCAAATCTACACTGGAGTTGCTTACCAAGAAGATAGTGAATGTTCCTGAGTGGCCGAGTTACCTAACAATGAGTGGCCGAGTTGTCTAGCAATGATCTACAACCAATTTGACAGAGCTTGAATAATTTTGAAAATAATAATGGGCAAATGTTGCACAATCCAGGTGTGGAAAGCTCTTAGAGACTTAACCAGAAAGGCTCACAGCTGTAATTGCTGCCGAAAGTGATTCTAACATGTATTGATTGACTCAGTGGGTTGAATACTTATCTAATCAAGATATATTAGTGTTTCATTTATTTTTTCTCTCACAAATGTTAGAATTTTTATTACACTTTGACATTACAGAGTATTTTGTGTAGATCGTTGACAAAAAAATCTTAACCAAATCCATTTTAATCCCACTTTGTGGAAAAGTTAAGGGGTGTAAATACTTTCTGAAGGCACTGTAGTACATGTGTAAAATAATGGAACTGAGAGTCATGATCAAAGGCTTAAAGGAGAATCGCCATATTCAACGTCTCCTGTAAACCCAGATTCTGGTTCAGAACTGAACGGTCTTGTGACAATTCTCATTTAGCCAGTTCGCTAAACGATATAGCGGATGAATCCAGTATCATTACCAGGCAGCCAGCACGGCCTATAACCGCACAGGTGGATACATCCCTGCCAATTTAAATCATTGATCCCTGTTAGACAGCCGGCTAGCTTCACCCAGTAATTGAGTAAAGGCTAGCTGGCTATAGCTACGTCATTCGGTAATAATAACCTATTTGATTGACTGCCGCTATATCAAACAGGGACCATGACAGTAGGATGAGAATGGGTCTAGTACCGAGTACAGATCTCTATGCCATTGCTAGGCAAGCTATCCAATCACAGCACCCTGCCTGCCTGGCTAGGCGCTGCCTTGAAGCAACAAAGATGATGTAGCTAACGCGACAGCGCCTCAATGAAAAATGCATCTTCATCTAGCTAGCTAGCGGACGAGAAGGGGAGAGAGATCTCTCTCTGTCTTACCATCGCTCCGTTTGATTTCCACGTAAATGCCGATGAGGATCTTTCCGAAGACAGCGACGGCCATCCCTCATGTGTGTAGTATGTGTGTATGGCTGTAGTATGGGGTGTGTATTTGTTTAATTGGAGGGGGACCAAGTTGCGCCGCAGAGAAGAGAAACCGGGAGGAGGTCAGGAGGATAGAGGAAAGCAGTGCGCATGCGCAAAGACCCTACCCTGCTCAATCAGAGTGGAGACGCATCCAAGAAGTCAGTTGGATTTAATTTTAGCTTAGTCTTCTAGCTAGCTACAATTGCAATATTTATGCAATTTTCGGTTGTATGTGCATTTGGGGGAAAAAGCAGCACGCTTAAATGTGTTCATTGCAAAATAAGAGGCTTATCGCGACTAATTCTATAAATGCGTATAATTCACGATTTATAACCAATGATTGAGTAATAGTCGATAAGCATGTATTTTTTATTATAAAGGTTTATCATTCGAATAATTATTAAATGCATTCATAAATATGATAATAAGTCATACATTTTAAGTAAATAAAAAAATTGTCAACATATGGTTAAATGCTCTGTTTCGATTCAAATGTTAAAGGCCCACTGCAGCCTGGGTTTTTCATCAATATCAAATAATTTATCTGTAATAATTAAGTACCTTACTGTAATAGAGTCCCATTAAAATGGGACAAAAATAGATTTTTTAGCAAAAACTATTTCTAAGCAAGAATTTTGCTAAGACTGTCTGGGAGTGGTCTAAGTGGGAAGGGAAAACTGAAAACTAGCTGTTATTGGCAGAATGGTTTGGAACTCTTTTTGTATTGGTCTATTAACCAATTTACCGCCTGGTGATGTCACTATGGAAAGCCGAAACTCACACCCATGCAAACCTGCTGATTAGAAGTTTGTATTATTAACCATCAAGATTGTAGATTGTATTTTCAACCAGCAACTATTAGGAAAGGACACTTACAAAACAGGTTCACACTTTTACAGTGTTAGTTTCATCAGCTATTGTACAATATGATATAAAACACAGGAAAAACAGCATTTTTACTGCACTGGGCCTTTAATCTCCTCCTCTTGTGTTCACCTGCACTTTGTTGTTCTGAAAAACAAATCCAGACGGCCCACTAAGCATGGACCGACACAACGTATTTTGGGCGTCTTTATTTTAAAAATATTTATTAATTTGGGGGGGGGTTTCAACATCTATGGACGTTGATTCTTAGTCCAGACTGGAACCAATCATAGACATATATGTTTCACAAGTTTGGACAGCACAGTACAGGCTAGTCATCACAGTACAGTACAGTACAGTACAGTACAGTACAGTACAGTAGAGCACAGCAGAGTACATTACATTACAGTAAAAAAAAATACATAGAGTATAATACAGTACAGTACAATACAGTAGAGCAGTACAGTAAAAAAAAAGTTAAGTATAGTTCAGTACAGTAGAGTATAGTACAGTATAATGTACTCTACTCTACTGAACTAAACTGTACTGTACTGAATTAAATTATACTGTCCTTTACTGAATTGAACTATACTGTACTGTACTGAATTAAACTTAGGCAGTGGCAGCATGATCGCAGTTAACTGTCATAAACTGTCAATCCAGCTCTGTCAGCTGACAGACTCATAACTTGCCACGTCGTAAAATGCTGACTCAGTTGAAACATGGTTTAGCATGTGACTTCACGGGGGCCTATAATTAAGTATTACTAACTGTAAGTCGTCTGATAAACTCTGCTAATGCTTGAATGTTGTAACTCTACTGTCCTCTACTCTAGTGAATAAAACTCTACTGTATTGAACTATACTCTACTGTCCTTAATTAAACTCTACTGTAGTCTACTGTACTCTACTGTAATGTACTCTACTGTACTCTACTCTAGTGAATAAAACTCTGCTGTCCTGTACTGTACTGAACTGTGCCATACTGTACTGTGTGGTTCAAACTTGTGAAAAGTTCAGATTTGGTCTGGTTTGGACCGACCAAATATGTACTTGTTTGGGGGTGGAGGTTATTGCAAGTATTTGTTTTAAAATTTTAGTCATTCAGCAGATGCTCTTATCCAGAGCGACTTACATTCAACTAAGGTAGATAAACAACAACATATCACAGTCATACCAAGAAAAACATATTTCTGTAACCGTTACTGAGAACGTTATTGTAGTTGAAGTGGTCTGTTGATTTATTCTGTAGGTTGGACTACTTTGAACATCATCGCTGCCAGTTTTAAAGCTTTTGAAAAAGCTAACATAAGTGCATGTGACAGATAAGAGCAATAATAAATATTATATTTAGCAATCTTCACTTGGCTCCTCTTTCCTATATTAAATGGATTAAAATATATATTTTTGTGACATAATGCTTACTTCATTGAGAATGTATGTGCAGTTGAAATTTGGCCATAAAATCAATTACCAAAATAATACCTATTTTCAACATCTGTAAATGATGTCTTTTCAACTTCCATTCAGAACCGAAATGAACCTGATTTCAACGTCCGGAAAATACGTATTTTCACCTTTCATTCAGAACCTAAAATGAACCTAACTTCAACGTCTGGAATATGTCTTTTAGACGTCTTTTCAACATCATTTTGCTTACTTAGGATATTGTGTGCCTCTCCATAGCTGCATGGGAGGAACAATGCGTCTGCATCTCAATCAGAATTGCAGTCATTATTACAGACATGGTCTCAGAATGCACCATTGTTGATCCCTATGAGGGGCTACAAAGAATCACATTGTAGCATAAGCAAAACACCAATCCCACAACTCCGTCATTAAGTAGCCTGGTCAGCCGCTAGTGGGCGCAATGAATCTCCACTATCATCTGGGCTTAATGTGCCCAGCTGGTAATACATTCGACCGGTCTGGACATAAAACATCCTCCATTCAGGCTGCAAAGGCATCGATGTCCTCCATAGCTAGCTTTAATGGCGTGCCGCCGAAAAAATACTTGGGAAAATATGCGTACTGTCTTAATAAAACAACTTCCGGATGTTGCACACCGCGTTCAGCCAATCCGGTTACAGCAGCCTGTTGTTTACCCCTGGCTAAACATGGGGCGCAACATCAGGAAGTAGCATTAGCCACTCTAACATGGTAGTGGAAAATTGTGTTTTACAGTATGCATATTTCCCCCTTTTTTCAGACGGCACGCCATAAAGCGAGTTAAGGAAGAAACCGATGCCTTTGCAGCGTGAATGGAGGATGTTTTATTACGAAACGGTCGTCGGGGGACATGAGTGTGTTACCTGCTGGGTGAATTAAGGCCAGACGATAGTGGAGGTCCATAGCGGCTGCCCAGGCTAGTCACGTTTGTAAAAACAGCATTTTTTGGAATTTCCACAGAAAGTTAAACTCTTTTGACATTGACTATTGGAATGTATAATTACTTCTACTTATTTTCATCAAGTTAAGATCAACAAAATATAAAGTTGAATGGGGCCACTATACAGTATGTGCAGGGTTTTGTGAGCGGTGCAGTCTGATCATGTCATTCTCACCTTGGACCACACCATGGCAGCAGTGGGCCATCTAGGAGCCATCTCTCTCCTGGCCGCTGTTTAACTACTTTACAAATTATTCTCACATACACTGTATCTGATTGGGAGATTCCGCCAAGAAAGTGAGAACAGAGGGATGCATTTTGAAAGTATTTAAACAGGTCCATCACTTGTGTTTCACATGTTGTATTTCACGTTTCACTTTTTGTTGCTGAAGAAAACTATAGTTTGATGAGTTGCTGGATAGTTTTGTGCTGTTGTAAATCTAATACCACTCATGAATATATGTCAAACATGAGTTAATCCCACTGACACACATACATTCAATCAGTCAAACAGTCACAACCCAACACACTGTTAGTCACTCTGTGGATGATGATGGTGCATTTACAGTGAATCCCGGCAGCACGTAGCCAAGCGGTTAGAGCGTTGGGCCAGTAACTGAACGGTTCTGGTTAGAATACCTGAGCCAACAAGATGAAACATCTGTCTATGTGCGCTTGAGCAAGGCACTTAACCCTAATTTGCTCCAGGGGTGTTTATGGCTGACCCTGTAAAACAACGCATTTATCTGGTGTATGTGACAATATATATTTTTTAATATAAATAAGACATCTGTCAGGGAAGCTAGCAGCAATAACACAGTCTCTCCTATAACCAGCCCTGAGCTGCAGCTGTCACTCGTACACGGACAGAACCACAATCCATTCCAAAAGATGAATGAAGCTGCCTGCCTCTCTCTTTCTTCCTCTCTCTTTCTCTCTCGCTCTCTCTCTCTCTCTCGCTCTCTCTCTTTCTCACTCTCAAATATACACACACACACACACACACACCCTGCCTCTCTCTTTCTCTGCCTGTCAGTCCAGAGGGCCCATCCATTCCCCAAGGTGTCGGCCAACGTTGTCTGGCCTATCTGTTTCCCCAGCAACCACGTCCCTTGCTGTCAGCAGTGAGGGACTACTTTCTGTCTGTTTGCTTTGGATCCCACTGGATTAATGAGGACACAGTACAGCTTAATGGTGTTTGATGATTGTTCTTTGTGTGTATATAGGAGGGATGTGTGTGCGGAGAAAGTGTGTGGGTGTACAATATCATAAATGGACATTAATTTCCGTATGATCAAAGGAAGTACTTTCCAAATACACCATTGGCACCAAGTCGTATTTATTATATTATCATCACCATATAAATGCCTGTTCCCCAAGATGATTCGTCAGTCGGACACAGTGACTGAACTGTAAGCCAATAAGCCCACAGCAACCTGCCATGCATAGGCAATTTGGAGATCATTCGCATTATTTTACATACCAATATTTAATGTACTGCAGGCAGGGATCGCTGGGAGTCTATTTTGCAGTCATGGATAATTCATGATGCAAGCAGACAGTGCATATGGAGATCCCTTGAAAGGGGCTGAGAAGGATTTGTGGATTGCTCAATTCCCCCCTCATCCAGCCTCCCCTCCACTCTACACTCTAATAGCACAGGCCTCACTCTCAGGATGTTATAGCCTCGCTCTCAGGCTCCATCCAGTGCTGCAGTCATGTCTT